ACATTATACCCCTCTTCCCTTTCGACTTGTTAACCAGTGATCGGCCCCGTCCCGTCCTTCACAGATTTCAGCATTGCTTCATGATTTTTGGCAGCCGGGACGTTGCCTTCTAGAGGGAGGGGATAGTGTTACGGACTTCGCCAGGGCTCGATCCCTGGTCTATCTTTTGCTGTTTCGGCTGCATCCCGTTTTCGGCCTGGCACCCTTTTACCAAACCCCTCCTTTGGTACCGTAGGATTTTGGACAACCGTACGTGTCACCGGTACTTATACCGGCTCCCCGTACGGTACGGGGACCAGTCTCGTACCAGTTCTCTGCTGCTGTACTCGTACTCAGTGCGACTTGCCGTTTCGGCATTGGGAATCCAAGACTTCGACTTTGTGCCTTGCCACTGTGTCTGCGTCCAACCCTCAGTCCGAGTCCGTCGTGTCGAGTGAGTGAGTGTGTGTGTGTGCTCTCACTCTCTCCCTCTCTCTCTCCTCTCCCTCGGCTCACCCTCAGCCTCACTCCCGTTACAGGGGGAGTCAGATTGCTGCCAAGGGGAAACAGCAGAGGCAAAGAATGGGCAAACTAAGTTGCAGAAGGATCCGGTAGCCGAAACCTCCTAACAGTAACAGAGCAGGACCTGAGCCTGACACCATAAAACATGTAACTGCAGTTATTGTTCTGGTGATAGCCACAGAGAGAGAGAGAGAGAGAGAGAGAGAGAGAGAGAGAGAGAGAGAGAGAGAGAGAGATGGGCACAGTGGAATGGCCTTTCGGCTGACATGTTTGTGTTATGCCCCTGTCAGGTGGGTGTGCAAATTCGCTTGGCCTTTTGCAGTTGCACCTACGAAAAATTGGCAACTGCCGGGATATTTTGCAAAGTTGGGCAGCGTCCGGTACGGGTACATTGCAAAGATGGGGTCCAACTGATGGCTGGGGTGTTTCACAAACTGTTTTTGTCATCGTCCATTTATATATTATAAATTTACAATACTGTTACGACCCTGGCCAATTTCGAATTGCAAATTCACAATGCTGTCCAATTGCAAAAGGAAATGAATGAACTTGAGAGGTAAGAGAGGTAAAGGAGAAGAAGAAGAAGAAAGAAAGAGAAGAAGAAGAAGATGTACACCAGCAAAAGACCAATCAGAATCCCCCCTTCTTCGCCAACCAGCCCCTCCTCCTTATCTCCTCCTTTCTTATTGAAACGATAAATAATAATTGAGTGGACCTGCCGCAATGACGCTGCGGTGTGGAGCAGGGAGGAGGGCCATAGCCATCTGGTATTGGCGACAATGATGGTATCCGGTGTTGACGATGAGTGATGATGGTATTGGCAATGGATGGTCTCGGTGATGATGATAATACTGGTGATGATCATGGCACCGGCAGTGACGATGGTATTGGTGATGATGATGCCGCTGGCGTGAGTTGTCTCATGGTTGAATGAAATGATTTACTTTGCAAACACTTGTGTCAGTCGGGTGGATGGTCCATAATCATTACGCGCATGCTCTGCGGCGATCACTGATCAGTGTAACACGTGACAGCCGCCGGGCCAAAGTTTGCTTGGGATCGGGATGGGAATAGGAATGGGGATAGTAAGGGGAATAGGGACGGGAATAGGAATGAGATATGGAAGAGGAAGAAGCAACTCAGGGAACTCAGGACAGATGAGCCTCAGCGAGAGCGGGAATCCACGTTTGATAGTTTTTTTTTTTTTTGGTCTGAATGAGCTGTAAGGACACCAAGCTGATGTCGAAGATGGAGAGCTTTTGCCTATGGACGCATTTGCAGATACCAACGTGTGTGTATTTGCTTGTTGTAAGTCGTCATTGTTGCAGGGTTTTCTTTTTTTTTTGTTTTGTTTTCAATGGTGGGTAGTGCCTACCATCATCGTTGTGAAACGGTTTTCACCTTTTAGCAGTAGCAGATGCAGTACCCAGGGCTCGATCCCTAGACCTCACCCTACCCATGTATAGTATCGGTGTAGATCCCGAGAGTTGAACCTGTGACCTGTGTATTCGTAGACAGTTGGTAGGTCTGTCGTAGGTCCAGAGGCAGCAGGGGTTCGGTCTGTAGGTGTGGCATACTGTGTAGCCACACGGGCCTGCAGGGCCTGTCCCGCAGTCTCAGCCTAAAAGCCTAGAAACAAGGGCTTACAGGCCCCGTGTCCGTCTCAGCCTAAAAGCCTAGAAACAAGGGCTTACAGGCCTCGTGGCTGTTTCAGCTTGACGGCCTGAAAACCAGGGCCTACAGGCCCCGTG